TTAAATGTAGTTAATGTTCTTTCATTACTGTTGAATGATGTGCCTTAGGGGTGAAATCTCTCTCATTTTACAGATGTTTACTTCACAGTGGAGGGAAGATTTTCCCACAGTATGTGTTGGTATATGGGATGCTTGTAGAATCAGAGTCTCTGTTACTGGAGAGTGCTGTTCAAGGAACAGAACCAACTCTTGGGTTTAATATAGCCCCTTTTATCAACCAGTTCAAGGTATGAAGTTACTGGGTGTCTTCCAGGCACGGTTCCAAAGCCTGCAGCTGTCTGGCTGTTTGGTTTTGTGTAAACTGCAAGAAAACTGAAGAGCTGAAACTTTTTCATACTGTTGGAAGTTATCAAGAGAGGTTTATGTGACCTGACAGGGACCTTGAAATAAACTAAAAAGGGTAACATGTTTTAGAACTGGTGTGGTAGAAGTTTTGTCTGAGTAATGAAAGATGCAATGTTACTGTACAGAAGAGTGACTGTGCTGTTACTATCTCCTTCATCACCGTGTATCCCAACAGTCACGTTTCAAAAGGGGTTAGAAGGGTGTATTTTGCATTTTCGCTCTCTCTTACAGGCATTACAGTAATTCATAGAAACTTTTGCATTATGATAGTCTCTTTTCACCTTTTAATGGCTATTGATGACTGAAGTTATGGTATATACTCTTAGGTCCCCGTTCGTGTGTATTTGGATCTCTCTACATTACCATGTGTACCCTTGAGCAAGCCAGCAGAGCTTTTGAGGCTAGATCTCATGAACCCTCTGTTGAACAGCTCCAGCAGAGAAGTGAAGGTGAGCTGCGTATACATAAAGTTAGAAGTGTGCTTAACTGCTCTTCTGCAGAGCTGCTTGTTCATTGCTCACCTTGGCTGAAAATTTCAATGCAGAATTTACTTGTCTGCAGATATTTTTGAAATGGTTTGAACTGTTTTATTTTCTTACTACTTTGAAAAGGATGTAACTGATTAATATTTTAAATATTTTTAGGTACAAATTTGTAAGTCTGGCCAAGTCACTGCAATTCCCTTCTGGTATCACATACATCTAGATGAAGACCATAGCTTGAATACATCTGATGAGTTCTCGCACTGGAAACAAGCTGCAGTTGTTCTCGATGAGCCCATCCAAGTTCAGGTTGGAGATGAACTTGTGCTGGATGTTCAACACCATAAAAGCAATATTAGCATTACAGTTAAACGGTGAAGAATGTCACGTGTAAACTGATATGTGGTTAATGACCTATGCATAAATTGACTGTGTATAACATCACTGATGTTAATTTATATTAAAGTCTAAATTTTATCTACTCATCAAAAAGGCTATTTTGTTGCTTTAATAGTAGATACTTAATTTCTACGGATGGACCAAAACTGGCACTGGAAGGATATCTTGCCAAGTGGTGAAGGGAGGGACTGTCTTCCCTGCAGCAAAAACCTGATTGCAAGCTACTGTGGTCACTGTAACAGTGGGACACTTTTCTTGCTACCAGAGCATCTGTATTAAAAGAAAAAGCATCCAGATGCCTGTACCAGAAATAAACAGCTGTGGCTGTTCAAGATGGAAACCGTGTTTCTCAAACTGTAGTTCCATTGCTCAGTTGCCAAAGCATCCTACTGATGCGTACGTGTATGAGATGTTAGCCTTGTAGTATCACAAGCTGGCATTGCACATAGGCAATTGCAAACAGTTGTAAAGGTGTGCTGTTGAATAACTCAAGTTGTATATTGGAAGGTAAAGCTAGTAATCATTTTAGAATCCCTCGGAGAATCATCTTTGGTAATATAATGGGCCTGAACTCTTTGTCTATGTGAAAGTTGTGTAAAACATTAAATCAGTTACCACAGTACTTCTGCATCTTTGCTACAGCGTTACATTTTGGTATAATGCAGGTAACAAGTTCCTTCTATTAAATTTATATCCAAAGGGAAGACTAACAAAAACTTCTAACTCAGCAGTGATTCTATCTCTGTTAGCAAAATATTTCTGTAGCTACATTTCTCAATACTGTCAGTGCTGTCTGTTCAGTGTAGAAGAGGCATTTCTGTGATATTTTCCTTAACAGGCGCTTGTCAAAAGAGCCATCCACAAATAGTGTTTCTAGAAGCTCACTGCATGCAAGATCTGTACGTACTCTGTTAGGTCACATTTCACATAGGCACTCTCACTTTTTACTTCAGGGACTGCTGGAGCTGCGGTTGTCCCAGCCTGCAGCTGAACCTGCACCTGATAGATTGCTGTAATAAAGCTCCTTCTAGAAGGGTGGAGGAAAGGTCTCCAGTTTTGTTTGGGTGTTTTGCGTTTGGTTTTTTTTTCCCCCCCAAAACAGAGGTAATGATGAAGTCAAGTTTTCAGAAAATAAAGTAACTGGAATACCATTCTTTATCCAAGAGCTACAAATGTGTAACAATGTAAGTGAATTAGAGTAGGAAAGAGGCTTTTCATACTACATAGAAAACAGCTTTTCTTAAAAACAAAAACCAAACCCAAACAAAACCGTGATCCATAAACCCCAAGTTACAGTGACGCAACTCAACCTAGTAGGTACAGGGTATTTTCACCAAAGTGCCATTTTATAGAGAAGTGTTTCTTATGCTAGAGAAGTAGCTTTCTTATGCTAGAAGACCTCTGATAAAAGCGAACCCATTAAATAATAGTGGTTATGCTTTTTATTAAGCTTTTTAGCACTTAGTAAGACGGCAAAATGATTTAAAGAAAAATTAAGGACATCTTACTTAATGAGACTTAGTCAGTGAGACTAAAGGGCTGAAAATGACCATTACTGAGTTTTCAAGCAGTCTGTTAAGTAAGGCAAGAGCAATCTTATGAAGGACTATATAAAACATCCATTTGCAAATAAACTTGGTAAGTGATGCTGTTGAATGCTGTTGTAAGTTTTCAAAAGACAGGGTAGGTGTCATTGAAAAATTTCCATTTATTTTGGAAATTCAGTAGCAATCTTTAATGGAAAGGTATGTCCCTACAAGATACTGCGATGAAAAAAATGACTCTTCTCCCAGAAAAAAAATAAGCAGTAATACTGTGCACATGGAGTAACAGTAATAATTAAAATAACTTAATAGCTTCCCAGAAATGATGTGAAAGAAGCAACCAAGACATTAACTGTTTTCCTAACTTTTACACCAAACAGACATAACTTCAAGTATTACAAAAAATCCTTCAGCGTAAGATTTTTGAAAAGCCAAAGCATAGTAGTTAGTTAGCTCCCAGCAGCTCTGATCCTTCAGGTATTTGTACCAATGCCCCTTTTTACCTGCATACATGCAAGAAATCAGATTATTTCAAATATTGGCTACGGTGGGCACTGTTGTGCCCCAGGTGTTGTGAGCTTTTACAAGTTGTTTCCTTTTAGAATATGGCTATTGCATGGATGAAAAGATACCTGGAACCAAGCATAAGTAAGTAGATTATGATTCTTCGTAAGCTCAAAGAACTTACTTTTCAGTATAAGCCTTAAAATACAGAAAGTACAAACTCTTGTACAAGTTGTACTGAAGATCCCCTCCTTCTGTGAAGAGAACAGTTGCATTCATGCATCATTCACACTCTTAAATTACCGTAGCAGTAAATCAAATTGAAAGAAGGTGAACAGTTTAAATAAAATCTTTAATTGCTTATTTACAACAAAGGCAATGACTTGGCAAATGGAAAGTTATGATTTGCACTTTCCCACTAACTTCAAATACAGCAAGTACATAGTCAACTATAAAATATGCAGCCTAGTGAGTAAGGCGCAATATTTACATCACACTAGTACTGCAAAAAAAGCACTTAAAATTAATTAACTGTGACAGCCAGAAGTTAAACATTTATCCTGTAAATGCTAACAATCCTGAAAAAGAAACTTCAGATGTCACTTAAAAGGTCAGTGCTCTAGGGTTTGTCAGATTGCAAACATGCAATAGTACTAAAAGTCTGGTAACGGGATAAAAACAATACCCCTCTGATTTTGTCAGTTTTTGCAAAATAAATGTGCTATTTCTTGGTCTGAAATCTAGTGCTAGTAACTCCAGTATTAGATTAACTACTTAGTTTTACCTTTGCAAAGGTCTTTTCTGGGTGGGGGCGAATCAACTATTACATTTGAATCCAGGCTATACTAGAAGCATAATACAATAATCACATACACACAAATTTATGAATACAAATTACTACAGACACGTTGTCAAGATACCCTGCTTTAACAGCTTAAAAAAAACTTAAGTGTTAAAGAACTTATTGCAGCCTAAAGGAAAGAAATCAGTTTTGTTTTCTACTTCCTTTGACATCCTGTATTTCCCTCCACGCCCCATGTATTTTAAGGTAGTAACCATTATTCTTATTTTAGAAGGACAGGAAAAAAGCAGCTTTATTTCCCACCACACCCCATGCATTTTAAGGTTGTAACCATTATTCTTATTTTAGAAGGATAGGTAAAAGGTAGTCAAGTGTACAGTATTAATCCAAAACCTATCATTCTGGCTGTCTCTTCTATGTGTAAAAGACTTGCAAATTAAGAGCTACAAGGACAACAGATATGCCAACTGTATGTTCTGAGCATGGAATTTTATAGCGAGGCCGGTAGGGAACACTTTCTTTGTACGGATTCTTTACTGATGCTCTGTAATAATTATCTTCATGAAGGAGTTTTATTTAGCTATGCAGGGAAGGGAAGAAGATGGCATCTGTACAGAAGTTACCATTTCGTCCACACTCCATTCACCATTGGGCTATGGAAGTTACTATCATTAAGAGGACAATCAAAGCTAATACAAATGCTTTTTGCTACTGCCCTCCTTAAATTACATTCTTGAAATTAAGTTTTCCCATTGCTAGTAGTACTTCCGTGTCACCTTCAGAGGAGCAGAGTATTTTTTTCAAATGTTTCTTTTGTATTAATAAAAGTCAGTCTAATTTTGACATGATGTATACGTGTTTAGCAGTTAAATTTACGCAGAAACTTTCATAGTGTGCGTGTTTTATACTCACAGATACTCACATCTATTATAGATTCAGAATTCAGATGTCAGTTACAGCCGTATCCTCTTCCTGTCTGCGCAGTAGCTTTTCCAAGCTTTTCAACTTTCATCACTAATAGTACATGTTAACAGAACATGTGTGGCAAGCATACAACAGACTCCTTGACACATTCAAAGAAAAGGTGAGTCTAACTTTTATCCAAAGCTTTCTCTGATAAATTGTGCTCTAGTTCAGGTGACTCCTCAGCGTCTCGAGTAGCAGAAGTGTTATAAATACCATCAACTGCAGGAACTGTTGTTGGTGTTGTGAGAGGTGTCACAGTGTGTCCAAACCCTTGATAATGACCCATAGGTGAAGATGGCATTGAAGAAGCATCAGAAATTGGGTCTTGAGTAGATGAAGACAGTAAACTCGTATGTTCGTTTTGTTCGTGATCCTCAGCAAAAAACATTTTCCTTGGCTGGCCCAAAACTGTCCTTCCTAGAATTACACCAAATGAAAATACTTTTTAATACTTCCAGCGCTATACCAAGGTCTTTGAACATATCAACTGTAAAATAGGCGTGTTAAATGAGATGACTCTTGTTTCATAAGAGTTTTACATGGGCATTGTTAGCTTTAATAAACAGAAGGATGTCTTTCTGTAAAACGGAACAAAACAAAAACCAAAAGGGACATCCCTCTCTTCTACCTAACACACCTGAAACTTGCCCTGAGATCCATCTATTTAAAAGAAAAAGTAAAAACTAGCCTTTAAATTAGTACTGGAAAGAGCAAAGTGCCAGATAAACCATGAAATCCTCTAGGGCTGGAGCTGCCACTAATTCGGTATGGAATGTTCTAAGTACTGCAAAGATGGATAATAGCGTAAAATGAAGCTGAAAATACATATGCTGTTAACGGATCATACAAATCTGTCTGTTACTTACCAACATTTCGAACCTGTTCTGATATATCTGCCCTTATATCAGAAATATCCCACATTGCAAGAAAAGAATCGAAGCATGACCCTTCTTCAGCTTCTTGAACATAGGGTTTATAGGAAAAACTGTAGTGATGTGCAATAGCAGCCAGGAACATCTCAACACAAATGATAAAATCCTGCAATGAGAGAGAGATTGACTTAATCATTCATAACTGGAGAAAAATAGTTCCTGTATTTCTTCTATAATCGAAAGACTGCAATTGCCTTGGGATATTGGCATCAGCTACTTTTCCACCAGAGGTAGGATATTCTGGGCAGGCTTCAGCCAGCCATAGATATTGAAATCCATTCTTGCCTAATGGACTGACTTGCTGCAAGCAAGTATTCAACAAGCAGCAGCTCTACAATGAATTGTTGCAAGAAGAAATGAAAAGATATCCAACAGAAGTATTTAACTGGGGCACATTCCTTCTGCCCAACACACGGATATACAAGCGTTGAGCACAAAACTCACTTGGGGTGACTGGCTGAAACTTAGCCCAACTTACAATAAATTCAGTACTAATCTACCCTGTGTTAATTAAAGTGAGTATGACAAAATTTGCTTGAGACCAGCTATGTCATCTTACATATAGCCACTCCTCCTACGAAGTAATTGTCTGCTCCTACCTGTAGGCCTGTAGCCACAGCTTCCACACTTTGCCATTCCCAGGTGTGTTTCTCAGAAATAACGCCAACTTTCACCAACAACGCAATAAGCACAGCTTGCCTATAAAGAGATTTTTTTTAATTGTTATTGTAATAGTAGTGCAAGAAAACCTCCAAGCAAATCTGCTAAACAAGGCCTGTTTCTATGTATGTACAGAGGAATAATCTCACAAAAAAAATCTTACTGTGTATATATTTAGATTTTAAGAGGAGGAAAACAAAACAGACTTAAAAAGAGATGTCATCCATCCATGGTCCTAAAGTCGAACAGAGAACACAACCAAAGAAGAGTCTGGTGCTCCAGTTAGTTATTAGAACAAGTCGCTTCTCTTTCAAGGTATTACTGAGCCCACAGAGTGATGTTCAGATAGTCAAATGCACTCTCATTAGCAGCTAATTGCGAGCAATACTTGAAATAGTAACTTATAGTAACTTATTCTGAAATGGTTAAAGTAATTATTTATTTTTTTTTACTTTAGAAAGTAAAAAAAATAATTCAATTTTTGTTTTGAAATAACTGCAAGTGAAGATTTAAAAATAAATTACATTCTTGAGAATTACCTTATAAAATAGCAAGTCTAAAAAATAATCTCAAGTGAACAAGCCTGCTCTGCCAAATGTACTAGTACCCTTTTCCCCTTACAGCACTTCACTAAGATTATGGGTAGATTTTTTTTGAGGCCTCTAATCTCAGGAACAAATCCAGCCTTTTTAGCTCTTTTATGATCCATCCAGAGAGCAAGAAGCAGTAAGCAAATAATTCACTTACCAGAAAGAAACAAAAACGACCATCTTCACACAAAGGAACTTGCCAACAGGTTGGATAGGATTCAGTTCTTCACGTAGTACTTTATAAAACAGCACCAGACAATACATAGCAAACTAACAAGGAAAACAAAGAAAAGCTTTATTTTGTGAGGGAGTTGTTTTACAGCATGTCTTCAGTTAGAAAATATATTACAGTACAATAGAAACTTAAAAAGCTATCTATTCTAGAAAAGAGGCTCTGGATGTATGGAATCTTTGCCTTACTGTTTTAAAGCAGACTTTTTTTTTTTCTTGAAATTGTATTTCTGAAATGCCTGCTATTGGCAGACAGAGACTGAGGTCATCTTGTCTACACACTAAAGCAAAGCATAGGAAGGTCTGATAAAAACTTTTCAATGCCAAGCACATCTCTAGGGAAAATGGCATAAAAAGCACATGTTCTTTCAGCCTTCTGTTAAGAACCCCTGAAATATTGCCTCTTTATGAGAGGTGAGGCAATCAATATAAACTTCACCGCAAAGCTGAACAAGTTTCCTACCAATGACAACGGCAAGCAACAGAACTAACGTACAGCCAAACCTAAGGAACTGACCTCCCCTTTTCACCCACATTCTCCTAGCCTCTTGCTACCAAGTTTCTTTAAGCAATCACGTCAACTAGGACATGCAGAAGTATCTGCTGCTGCTGGGACTGTTGTCACAGGAGAAAGCAGTGACAGCTCCTTCTGTAACAGTCCCCCATCAAACACGGTGGTGGCAGTAGGAAGAAGACACCCTTTTTGGATGGGACATCATGCTGTTCTGACCCCTGCTGCTGTTGCCAAGAGAAGCAAGAAGCTTGGAGGCAAGCAGGCAGCAAGGAGCCAGAGCTGCTGCTCTCTCCTCTTGCAATAGCTCATGTGTAATGTGCCCTGAGTGAAGCAGAAAATTATTCCTCTGCATTCCCAGCAAGCCACTAAATACAATCCCTGACCTCCAAAATGGAATTTTCAAGTCTAGGGGCTGACATCTCACCCTTACCCTGACATCATCCGGCAGCTGAACCAACACCACAGGGCGTTAGACAGGCCAGAATCTCAGCACTGCAGGCACCATTTCCATTGTTTCCTGTCAATGTTGCTACCACCAGCTTTGTAACACAGTACTTTTAACACAGCCACTGCTGACCCTTTGTATGCGTGCTGGGAGGAAGCTACAGGGGTAAGCGAAGTCGTCTCTTCTGCAGAGGGGCAAGTCTGCAGCTCTAACGTGCCTGGGCCGTACCACTTCACCCATCAAATAGTTTAGGGTAGGGAGGCGAGACACTTTATTGCTCTATGGAGCTTCACAGTAAAAATAATAAAAGTTTTAGATTATCTGTTTTCCTAGTATTTTACATACATAATATTTAACAGATAGTAACTTGGACTTACAGAGGAAAATATTCTACCCATAATAAGAATTACCAGACATTAACACAATTACTGGTAATAGTTCACATAAAAAGATTCACATAATACTAATACAATGACTTAAAAGAGCAGAAAGATGTATTCTTCATACTCACTAGCTGTGACATGTTGTTAAGTATAACCAAGTAAGTCCAAGCATTGTTGAAGCTGAAGTTTCCTTCATCATACACTCCCACGAGTTCACAAATTCTGAAAGAATTTTTAGAATTAATCACTACGTAGTAAATGATTACTTTCTCAAAGCGCTAAATCTTCATTACATCGATACACTGCAAGAATCCAAAATCTTTTGGTACTCAAATATGGGCACTGGGGGTCTGCACAAGAATCAGTTTCCAACAGCATATGGCACAGGAAGTTTGTATTGCATTTTCCATAGAAGAAATAGCATTTGAATGCAGGGTTAACATATCCAATTGTTAAATTAATTCAACAATTAAACATCAATTATTTTTTTAGCTGTTTTGCTTTTAACTGTTAGAACACATTCAGCTAATATAAATATTTACATGGATATTCTTTGTGAGTAGCAACTTCTTGCACAGTCCCACAGAATTAACAGTAATGACCATCAATACAAAGTTCATGAAATTAAGCTTTCAGCATCAACATGCATAACTATTCCTTATACAACAGGTTATATGATCTGTATGAAGGCACACAGTCAGGCTTGTCACATGCGAAGTTTTATAAAATTTAAAAAGTTACATAAAGCCTGACTTGAAAATACACAATTGTTGAAGCCAATGAGAAAAAGGAGGAGGGGAAAAAAGACTCTAAAAATTAAGAGATCATAAAAATGTCTTTCCCACATAAACAGTATTTCACATTCGCTCCCACTGCTTTCAGCAGCAGACATTAAGTATTTATTATTTCAATTCTGCAAATAGTCATCTGCTATAGAGAAGTCATAAAGAAATCGTAGGTTGATTCAAATTGCCAGGACCCATTTAGCATGTAACACGACCAGTTTGCTTTCAAACTGCCTTGATTCAATACAAAGGGCATGAAAATTCTTTCCAGTGTGACTCAAAATCGCATCCTGAAGTTCAATATTAATTATTTATGGGCATACTTACAAAGCAATAATGGTAGTAAATGGTCTGACAACAGTGTACTGCAAAACACCCAGTTTACATCTAAATAATAAAACTCTGCAAGAGAAACACAAAATTCATTGTACAGGAATTTAAAGATAATTCACTCATGGAAGTTTCCTGTTCTCACTAGTTTTGCTAAACTGAATTTTTATTTCATGATAATTTCAACTTCTGCTTCCAGGATTTCAGATGCTACAGTGTACAGTGTGTGTATATGCAATACACAAAAGACTTTTATAGACAGGTAACAGGAAATAGTCAATGATTCACTTATTTTAGCCATGGAAAGATTCCAGCTGGGCTAAACAAAGAGAATGCAGTTTTCACTATATTTGAAGATGTTTAAGAATGACTTACATTCATAGTTTGTCTTTAATAGTTTTAAACAGCTTTATTAAAATCTCTTAAGAGAGATGCTTATCAGATTAAGCATGCAGAAACAAACAGTTCACAGGCATATGGCCTTTTGTCCTTCACCTGTGGAAGTAAAAGCAATAGGCTATCTGGTCTATCAGCAATTCTACTCGAGGTTTATGGCAAATATTATACGATAGCAAAGGAAGGAAATTCAAGGACACCTTTTTCCAATATTTTTCAAAAATAAGGAAGTTTCCTTCAGCACCACTGAGTCGATGTATGTTAGTAACTAAGTGCGATTTATAGGATGTTTTACAGTTATATGAAAACATGTCCACAGCTGCTTTCAGTAGAGGTTCATAGTTGATAAACAAAACGTGCAAACCATGAACCGACTCTACCAAGCCACAAGAGCTATACTACTAAATATGAAAACAAATTTGTATCTCATTACGCAGCTCAAAATTTTAAGATGTCATCATATACTCACTCTCCCATAGCCCATGATGGACAACAACATAGAGGCGGCAGATGTCTCTGCTGATCTTTTGCTTCTATTATTAATACGAGGTTTGGATACCGGTTGGTTAGATAATTTGAAAGAAAAACCATAAAGTTATAGATGACATAAGCTTCATAGCATTCTCGACATGTATCCACATATATTGCAATGTTGGGGTATTTCAAAGCTATCCACTGTAAGAAGAGAGGTATACAAAAGGTTACATACGGGAAAGACAAAAGTGATTCCAGTGACAACACTGGCTGGCTAGTTCAGCAAGCAATACTTCATTAGACAGCAGGCACTAATTAAACAGAGCTTGAAGCATTTGGCTGATAAGAGTGAGATGCTACTGCTAGAAAATAACATTCCGTAAAAATACAAGCAGAACTTCAGATTGCATCTCTGCTGCTTCAAATGGAAGCATGCTTAAAGCACATTGCCAAGAGATGCTCTGTATCTTTGACCACACAATTTGGTCTTTCATTTAAAAATAACTAGGGAGATGGTTCCTTACACATAACCTACTCCTGTTAGGAGGAGACAAGATAGAACTGTTTCCTGAAATTCACGTATTCATTGTTAATATGGGGTTGAGAACTAAGTTTTTAGTCCCTCAGCAAAAAGTTGATTTCTTTTGTTATCTAATGTGTAAATGTTTGTTCTGGCACGTTTGCAAAATATAGAAGAAAGCAGCAGATTAGCCTTAAAGTGGTAGTCATCCCTCTAAACCAGAGTTTCAGACAGAAAAGTGTTGCTTTCGCAAAACTCTGATTATGGATCAGCTGTCATAGCTTTCAATTTTTAATTTTTAGTATCACGCTGCTGTTGCACTGTTTAGTGCATCCTGTCCTACTGGTTTTTTTTTTTGGTTTTGTGGACTGTTTTCTTTGGGGGTGGGAAGAGGTTAAATAGCGGCAGGTTTTTTGAGTTTACTTTGCTTCCCTAGGTTGTAGCAGAGCAAAACTGTGCCTGCTCTGATCTTCTTATTAGAACTACATGAAGATGCTTCACATCCTCATCAGAGTTAAGAAATACTAGAGATGACAGAAGCTGCAACACCTTTGTGGCAGATGTAATACTGCATCTAGTAAACTGAGAATACATTATTTGAATCTGAGAAGGGAACTTTAAGTTCAGCTCAGACTAAGCACTCTAAGAGGATACCACAAATGCAGCAAAGGCCAAAAGATCCAGGAGTCTGGGGAAAATTTTCAGTAGGTCAGAATGCCTGGCTAGAGCTCATTTAATTAGCAGGTACTTTTCTTCCAAAGGAAAATTCTGTACTTGAAATTGAAATATCGTTGATATTCCCCATAGGAAACAGATGATGTCTTTTTCTTCCCCACTCTCCTTCACTCTCGGATACTTTAAATCCCAGTCTTTAAAAAAAAAAAAGGAGAACGTACATCAGGGTGACACTTCATATTCATAAACACTCAAGAGAAAAACCAACGGAAAAGTTCCTGGAAAGTTGTCTTTTATGGGGGGAACAGAAATAATGTCAAGTGGTGATGATCCTGTACAGTCCACACATTTAGTATGTTTGTTGCTTAGCTCTGGTTGAAATCATCTCTACAGGTGACATATTTACATAAGCCATATCTGGCATGGCCAAGAGAATCTATTGCATAAAAGTATTCAGAAGTGGATTTTTTTTGTGGGATCTTATCCTTTGCCCCCTGAAGCAAAAGGGAAGAAATTTAGCACTAAGCATAACTCGGAAAAGAATTTTAATACTAAGCCTAAAGAAACGTAAGGCACTGAATTTTGAGACAGTAGTTGGATCTGGCTAGTTTCCAGTTCAGTTGTTACTGAAGATGGAAGGACCAAAAGCAGGCTGTTGTCATATCCCTTTCCACATCTGTCAGAAAGGATACTCAAGGACAGGGTTAAGAAGGGTTAGCAAAAGTGATCCTACAAGCTCCACAAGGAGAATGTAACGTTGTTAAAACTATGCTTCTGATGCCCTCCATAAATAGGAATGCCCAGAAGTTTCTAGAACTATGACTCTCCATGCAGCATAGTTTCTAACAGTGACACGGTTTTCCCTCACTCCCACATCAAACAGAATTTTATTGAGCTGTTAACAGTAAGAGAACACTTACACTGTCTAAACTGTAAATCGGCACCATCCATAGAATCCTGTTACAATAACAAAAGAACATTTAATATTACTCGAAGTATTTTTACTCTGAATTAAATTCAACGTCTGTAGCACTGATAAAATGTGAAATGTTACCTTATTATTGGTTTCTGCAGCTCAGGTTGAGTATAATGGACTAAGTGTTGTAGTATTCCCCAGAGTGATATCGGTATAGTCATTAGTAGAAATATTCCAGCAATAAACCATGCCTTGGTATGAATTCCAACCTTGCAAAAAAAAAGAAGAATGCAAGATCAAATTTCAGTATTAATACTTTGAAGTTTTACTAGTATAGCAAGAAAAATAATTTATCTTTCTTTTTCTTTACTGTGAATAAAGTTTTAAGACAGATGTTAAGTACATATCCCAATACTAAGTTTATTTTTTCTAACTCTTCCTTTCAAATACACAAAATCCCGAAGTCTCCCTTGCAATCTGTTGATGTGACTTAGAATAAAACCTAAAAATTCAAAAGATGAGAAATCTTGCAGAACCAAACAAAACCATCAACAATAAACATAAAATGTTCTACAAAAACACAGTAATGCTCACTATTTAATTTACTGAAAGCCATAACCAATTCCTTGCTTTAGGTCTGGAACTTGTCTCAGTTCAGCACTTCATTATTAAGTTTCTGAAAGCTTGTGGACTTAAAGTATTTTTAGCTTTAAAATCAAGTTCCAACTAGTAATCAATTTCAACTAATTTCATTTAAAAATCCGAAATAGATATGCATTTATATATGTATGAGTCTGCTAAAACACAGGGCTACAATTTTAAACCAAAGCTCTCTGAAAAAAATTATATTGATAATCTTAAGTACCAAAACCTGAGAAACATAGTAGACTCTTCTCAAGTTTTTTTTTGTTGTTGAACACTTCTTCTCTGATCCATACTGTACATCAACATCCCAAGTCTTCTGTTGCTTTCCGGATCAAAGATCCCTTCTAAGTAGTTTCTCTGCTACTCAGTTTCTCTCTACTGGTAGTAGAGACACACAACACACACTGAGTAGGTTCTCTACCAGTATCAGATTTAATGATTTTGAAATTTCAGATACCACTTTGATATAAACTGTTATGCTGAACATATCAGAACAGGGTTTCAAAACAGGAAATTAAAATACACTCAAGACAGATTTTACTGCCATTAAGTGCTTAAGATTATACCATGAAAAAGCTTAGCTCCACTGGAACAAGTTAGTTTTACTTTTTGTTAGAAAAGTAATGCTACCACACATGTGCGTAACTCACATGCTACTGTTATGACATACTATGATATGTCATACCACCACAGACATATCACCAACGTGAAAGAGAAGCTTCTCTACCTACAATCTCACTTCTCCCTGATCAGACAGAACTACCTGAAATAGTGGCAATACCAGCATTCATAGCCTAATAAGTGTCAAAACACAAGATCTGGGCACGGCAGGGGCAGAGCTCCTGTAGAGACTGACTCCAATTTCTTCAGCATCTTATCAACTGGTGCTGAAAGAAATCTGGAGAGGGACTTTTACTAGGGCATGTAGTGATAGGATGAGGGGTAATGGCTTCAAACTGGAAGAGAGCAGGTTTAGATTAAATATTAGGAAGAAATTTTTCACTACGAGGCACTGGAACAGGTTGCCCAGGGAAGCTGTGGGTGCCCCATCCCTGGAGGTGTTCAAGGCCAGGCTGGATGGGGCTTGGAGCAACCTGGGCTGGTGGGAGGAGTCCCCGCCCATGGCAGGGGGGGTGGAACTAGATGATCTTTAAGGTCCCTTCCAACCTAACCCATCCTATGATTCTATGAACTGTTTAAACACCAACTATTACTGAACCGGAAGGAGAAAGAAACCCTGCCCCGTTCCATTTTGCTTCGTTTGCGCTTTAACAGCGCTATAAACGCACGCAGCCGCACCGCCGAACTTCCCCGGCCTCTCCTTTCCCCTCCGGGCCTCCACCCGGGGCTGAAGGCCGCTGCCGACCACCTCAGAGGAGCGGAGCCCCCCCTTCCCCCCCCC